TTTCCCTCCAACACATATATTGTTTATAACCAAATAAAAATGCTCTACTGCGGATTTATTGTCGAGAAAAAAGCCTCAATTTCCATATTGAAATAGGTGAAGCTTCAACACCTAGCATTCATATATATATATATATATATATATATATATATGTCGTACCTAATAGCCAGAACGCACTTCTCAGCCTACTATTCAAGGCCCGATTTGCCTAATAAGCCAAGTTTTCATGAATTAATGTTTTTTCGTCTACCTAACCTACCTAACCTAACCTAACCTAGCTTTTTTGGCTACCTAACCTAACCTTACCTATAAATATAGGTTAGGTTAGGTTAGGTGGGGTTGGTTAGGTTCGGTCATATATCTACGTTAATTTTAACTCCAATACAAAAAATTGACCTCATACATAGAGAAAAGGGTTGCTTTATCATTTCATAAGAAAAAAATTATAGTAAATATAATAATTCAGGAAAACTTGGCTTATTAGGCAAATCGGGCCTTGAATAGTAGGCTGAGAAGTGAGTTCTGGCTACTAGGTACGACATATATATATATATATATATATATATATATATATATATATATATATATATATATATATATATATTATATATTTTTTTTATTTTGTTACTTGGTCTCATAAAATTTGAATTGAGTACAGTTGCTTTTTATTTAGTTTAAGTTTAATTAGAAAACATTAGAAAAATAATTACTGCATTTACATGATATTTATGTAAAATATATTAAAAAAATGTTAAATATTCAATAAAAGGCAATATATATTATTAAATTTTCACACAAAAGTGTTAGTCTTCTGCTTGTCAGAACGCTTTTGACTTCTATTCATTAATATCTAGCTTAAGAAGACTGTTCAGTAATAGAGAATTGACGTGAGATTTTTCCAATGTTGGTGGGATGATACCAGCCTTGAGGTACCTGGTGATAGTGGAGGCTGGTGAGAGGATGATACCAGCTTTGTGTTCTCGGTGGTAGCAAAATTTGGTACCTCATGGTAGCTGCTGATGACAGAGAGAGAAGGAAAGTAGATACCAATCATCTAGTATCAAATGACGACGAAGGGAGGGAGAAGGAGGAGGAGAATTAGATGAGCAAGACGGAAGAGGTACCAGCCCTTTAGACAAGTAAAAGATGCAGGCGGGTGGTAGGCAGATACCAACCTCATGGTACCAAGTAATGGTGGATGCTGGGGGATTGGCCTCGACGGTACAGGTGAAGTATACATCATCGCCCTCCTTCAGGAGCTCCGGGCGAAGCGATCTTCCTAACGACGCAGACACCGTCGGCGGGTCTATCAGAAATGGAGAAGTTAGGGATATAAAAAAGAAGAAAATGGGCAAGAGGATATATGAGAAAATGGGAAACAAATTTAGTAATTTATAACTAAATAGTGAATTATTTCACCATTAGATGCAAGCTAAACGCTATACGTTTTTTGTTAGTGATTGTTTATCAGTGTCAATGGGGCAATGTTGGCATGCATGACTTACAGTGGACGATGAGGGAGGTGGAGTTGGCGAGGGGGGAGTCTGGCACGGCAGGGTTGGCAGCCCTGCAGGTGACCTTGGTGTTGTGGTCACCTCGCGTGAGGTTGGTCACTAGGGTGGAGCTGGTCACCTCCCCGTACATCAAGTTCTGGACGCACGCATGCGCGCGCACACATACACACATGCACGCACACATGCACGCACACACACACACATGCACACACACACACACACACACATGCACACACACATGCACACACACGCACACCCACACACCCACCCACCCACCCACCCGTGCACACACACGCATACCCACACACACACGCATACCCACACACACACACACACACACACACACACACACACACACACACACACACACACACACACACATACACACATACACCCCCACACAAACACACACACACACACACACACACACATACACCCACACCCACCCACACACACACACACACCCACACACAAAGAGAGAGAAAAAGAACAAAACATTTGAATATTAGATCATAAAAGCAGATGTATATTTCTGTTTACAATACAAATTTCTCATCAAATAAATAACGTTATGAAGGACTTTAGAATTGTATTAGCAAGTGCAACAAATTAACGAAAAAAAATCAATAAAATGCTAAGAAACATTCTTTATATAATAGTAAAAGATCTAAGCATAAATTAAATTCTCTTATTCTTTAAAATCCTAACTTTCATCAGAATTTAAGAGGATTAAAGACCTTTATGTTTATGATAAAGAGGATGTGGGGATGGGGAAGGAGGGGGGAGACACAGATAGACAGACAGACAGAATTGTACACCTCTAGGACCCCTTTCTAGTATACTATAAACAAAATAAAAAAAGTGGTAGTACGTTTCTTATAGAGACTATTTCAATTAAACCCCCAGAAAATATTATCTAGTAGAGACAATTTTTGGAATCATATTTTTCTCAAGTTTAATTCTGAGGAAATTGTGAAAGTGTGAGAGTACATATAATTAGATTTGTTGTTCATATATATAATTGGTTTTGTTGATGTGAGAACATATGATTGGATTTATTGAAGTGAGAACATATAATTGGTTTTGTTGGAGTACATATAATTTGTTTTGTGTGGAGTTAGTACACATAATTGGTTGTGCGGGAGTGGGAAAGCCTCCAGATAATTAAAAAAGGATAAACATATCGATGGATACTTATCCAGTAGCACTAATCCGGACGACTAGTACATATGGGAGAGTGACTCCGATAGTCCAAGGAAATAAATTAAATTTGTATATAATTTAAAACTCTTGACCCCCTGAAGGATTCGAACCCGGTCAGCCAGTGCTTCCATGCCCTTTGGCATGTCCTAGAGTTTTCTGATATTTGTTGGCTTGGGGACCATTCAAGCTTGGTGCACAAATGACGGCCCAAGCATGCTGAAGTGATTTGAGGAAATATCTGTGCCCAGTATAGTCACGAGTGCTGTCGGGTATTGGAGTTAAATGTCAGACGACTTTCAATAATTTTGTACAGTCTGTGGCTGAGTGGTTATAGTACTGGACATGCCAAGGGGTGAAGAGTATTCTGTTGCATGTTGGGGTGGGGCAAGTCAAGCTTATATATATATATATATATATATATATATATATATAATATAAGCTTGACTTGCCCCACCCCAACATGCAACAGAATACTCTTCACCCCTGGCATGTCCAGTACTATAAAGTACTATAACATGTCCAGTACTTCACCCCTTGGCATGTCCAGTATATACGATTTATATATATAAATCTCCGAAAGTTCTCCACCGATTGCTTTGAAATTTTCGCACAATATTCCATTTGCATCCGAGCAAGTTTTTATATACATAATATATAGATGTCACGTCTGTGACGGGAAATAACTTTTTTTTTTAACTTTTTTTTTCATGTGAGGGAAATCTTCGAAACCTGTTTATTGATTGCTTTGAAATTTTGAAAAAAAACGTTGCATTCTAATAGGCCCGTGTTTTTATATACCTACTATATTCATGTCTCACCTGTGATAAGAATAAAACTCGCTTTTTTGAAAAACAGTGCCCTCTGTTGGACGTAAGAGCAACACACTTTAATATCCGAAAGTGTGTGTTGAAATACACACTTGTGGTGAAAGTGTGTGGTGAAATATTAATATTAATATTTTACCGATTGCTTTGAAATTTTGACACAACGTTTCATTTGAATACATGAGGGTTTTTAAATACCTACTTTATAGCTGCCACACCTGTGACAGGTAAATTTTTTTTTTTAAACAGCACCATCTGTTGCACGTAATAGCAACATACGCTATACTAAATATGTTACGATTCCATTTCAGTGTTTCTGATTGCATTGTTAAATAAAATTTTCATAGATTTTTATATATTTTTAGTTTTATTGAATTATTTTGTGTGACATTGCTTTGCAATTGAGCTGTGTTGTTTACCATACCGTTCATTTCGTGAGTATAAGTATAGATGCCACACATATGACAGGCGAAACCATGCTTTAAAAAAAAAACAACAACAGCGCCATCTGTTGCACGTGAGAACAACATACATCAATCTAAATATGTTACGATTCCATTTCAATGTTTCCAATATTATTGATAAATTGAATTTTCATAGATTTTTATATATTTTCATTTCGATTTAATTATTTTGTGGGACATTGCTGTGGAATTGAGCTGTATTGTTTACCAAACCGTTCATTTTGTGAATATAGTTTATTTTTTTATTTTGTCATTGTTTTTCATTTGGTTTTTTAACTGTTTTTCTTATATTTCAGTGATGGGAACATCAGATCATTTGGGAATGCATCGGAAGAGGAGTGCGGAATAGTACGGAGGACGAGGGGACAGGGGAGGGGGTAATTATGGGGAGGACGAGGGGGACGGGGGAGTTGGGGATGGTCGGGACGAGGGGACAAGGGAATGGAGAATGGTGGGGAGGACAAGGGGGGCAGGGGAGTGGAGGATGGTGGGGAGGACGATGGGACGGAGAAATGGTAAGGAGGAAGAGGGAACGGTGGAGTGGGGAATGGTTAGGAAGACGAGGGGACAGTGGAGTGAGGGGATGGTGTTGAGGACAAAGGGACGGGGAGGGGGAGAATGGTTGGGAGGACGAGGAGACGGGGGAAGGTTGCTGTGGCTCAACGCACATATGTGGCTCACAGCAACGCGTGGCCGGGTACAGCTAGTACCCGGCCAGTATATATATATGTATATATATATATATGTATATATATATATATGTATATATATATATATATATATATATATATATATATATATATATATATATATATATATATACTATATAGGCGTGAACCTACGACCCTGGCAATGCCAGTCGCGTCCTCTACCAAAAGACCACCACTTGTGGCGTTCATAGGTTCCTGCCAACCTCCTCTAGTCCTAGTGGATTTTTTCATAGATATATGTCACGTTAATGTAAATTATGTGTGATTAGTAATATTATTATTATTATGAGGTCTTTTAACGATGTTTAGAGAATTAAGAGCATTTTATACAATTTTGAGTTTCTGCAGGCAACTTTCTAATTTACTTTAGTAATTTTCAAAAAATAAAAATATCCTTTTTTTCAATAAAACAAAATTATTTGCATAAGCTTTAAAATCTGAAATTTTCAGCACAACAGAACCGCACTATGTTATCTGTCCATGGGCAAGCACGTCCAACGTAATGATTGTGCCTTTGTTGCCCCGTTTAACAATGCTTTTGTCGTAGTTTACCGTGAAATGCTGCACTAGAGAACAGCGCGGTGTTTCCTCAATGGGGCACCGCAATGTTTCATATTTGCTTTACACTCTTAAACTCATGCATTCAGATTGGCCTATTACAGCCGTGCTGGAGATGAAATATTCATTCTGGGTTTAAATTCCCAATAGATATATTCATTTTAACCGGATCGTCTATCGCCAATTGTTTGAATTGTACCATAATATTTCTCTAGTGGCATGACATAAAATTGTGGGGGCATGGTTTATTTGTGTCTTCTCGTTTTCGATGACCAATAATTCGTTTTCTCCCACTGACCAATCGTGTCAATGTTTGTGGGATCCTTGTTGAGCATCGCTGAGCTCTTTTGAGGGCGATTAATTTCATTGGTTCTGGTTTAATGTGTGTGTCTTCTTTCTCTACATGTTTTCTTTATCCCTTCCCCCTTTCTCTCTGTCGTCACGCTCTTCTCTCTCTCTCTTTCTTATCCAACGTTGTTTCCTCTGCACCCCTCTCGCCCTCTTTCTCACAGCCTGGCTAGCTTTACTTTTATTTGCTCTGTGTTTGGTCATTAGTTGTGTGTGTGTGTGTGTGTGTGTGTGTGTGTGTGTGTGTGTGTGTGTGTGTGTGTGTGTGTGTGTGTGTGTGTGTGTGTGTGTGTGTTTTGTTAGTCGGGCGATCTTGTGTGTGGCCCAGGCTACCATGTCCCTGTCATGATATGGTGTGTGGCCCAGGCTGCCATGTCCGACCTGCGCTGGCTTGGTGACCTGCCTTCTCTAACGTACAGTGTAGGCTTTGCGGCCTACCTTTCCTGGCCTCTTGTATTGACATGTTAACTCTAATGATTTCTAATTGTTTTGTTCAGTCGCGATACTTCATTGATGTAATTCGCACTTTCTCACTCTTGTACATTATTCTAGTGTCTCTATTTAACTCTTTTACCCCTCCCCTCCTCTCCTCTCTTTATTCCCATTTATCTCCCTGGGGTGATTCCTCTCCATATGGGATGAAGGGGGATGTGACCCTTCATCCCCACTTGTCTTCTATTTGGCATCCTGTAGTGTCTTTTCCCTCTTGATCTCCCTCTGTATCAAATGCTTTCATCTCTATCAACACCTGTCTACCCCCCCCCCACCACACACACACTCCCCTAGTACGCTTGCACGCGGCCTCTAGTAATGCTCACCTCCTTCTGGGCTGGTCTGGTGACCCCTCTCACCGTCCAAGAGAGAGTCGCGGAAGGTCGCGAACCGGTTGAGGTACACACCAGCCGAACCTGTTGACCCTCGCTTACCGGGCCTGGGTTGCTCACTACCACGCTTGTTGGCAACACTGAGCATCCAGCAGGGAGGGGAGAGAAGTGGAGAGAGAGAGAGAGAGAGAGAGAGAGAGAGAGAGAGAGAGAGAGAGAGAGAGAGAGAGAGAGAGAGAGAGAGAGAGAGAGAGAGAGAGAGAGAGAGAGAAACTTGTTAGTGAATCGTTTCTGGTTGGTGGGGGCGGGGGGTTATTGTTTACAAGATGGTTAGAAAGGTTTGTACATGGTTTTATAGATGGGCAAAATATGAGTAAGGTGATTAGTTTGATGTTTTATTAAGGAGGTGGTTGGCTAGAATCGCTAGAGTATTAGCTTAGTCTTGTGTTTATGGTGTGGTAGTTTGGTATCTGGAATGGTGGTTCTGTAACTAGTGAGATTGATGACTAGTTCGCTTGTAATTGTTATGCTTTGTTAGTGGATACTTGCTTAATGATCAGCAATTTATTTAGTGAATATTAAATTCATGGTTTACTAGTTAAGTGTATGTGACACTTTCTTCTGCACATTAACATAGATGATCTGCTGGCTAACCATTCTTTTGTACTTAATTTTTTAATGATAATCTGAATGGGAATTTGCTAGTACAAAATTGTTATTTTAAAATATCTTTCATTTCGTCTGTATTTCTTATTTATTAAATTATATAATTATTCAAAATGAATATTAATTAAATGTATGAATTAATCCAAAATTCATTCATTATACGAGTTCATAAATAAATGTATAAATTCATTCGTATTATGAAAGAATTAAATTATATAATTATGGATATTTAATTATAAAATGGTTAGTTTTACATGTTAAAGTACATTTTTCATAAATGTGAAATCAATATAAATGCACATAAAAATTGATAAATTAACAGGCTAATTACTGATACACGTTCTGGGAAATTATTAAAATGTTAACCAATATTCTCTTTATTATATATTATGATGTAATTTAACTGGTATATATATTGTATACTATATATGTATTTTGTATACTATTTGATAAAACTGGTTGTTGATTCCTCTATGACTGCTATATACTAATACTAATAGTGTTTCCAATATGACCACTATTTATTAAAACTAATAATTGTTTCATCTACGACTGCTATTTACTAAATAATATAAACGGTTCCATTTGTATTGTTTTCTCTTTTAAGTTTTTACAACAGAAACTGTGATTTGTTTATTTTACAGCAATTTTTTTCCCTGCTACTTATTAGTGACCGATATTGATATTATTAGTGACCGATATTGATATTATTAGTGACCGATATTGATATTATTAGTGACCGATACACACACACATGACTCTTGTGTTATTATCCATGAATGTTTTCTGTTGTAATGGTTGTAATGCACAATTGTAACTCTCACTATTATTTTAGCTGATTAGTAAAATTACAATTTAGAATCCCAATAACATTTACAATTATAACTCATTGCTTTTTGTAATTATTATGTCAGGTGCTATTTATAGTCATAGTTCCGTTTTATATATGTGTGTATGGCTTGTATGAGAATATATATATATATATATATATATATATATATATATATATATATATATATATATATATATATATATGCAGAATAACCACATATGAAAAATAGAAAATGCTTAACGCGTTTTCGGCTAATTCGCCTTCATCAGAGCAAAGTAGAATGACATGACATTGATTCTACTTTGCTCTGATGAAGGCGAATTAGCCGAAAACGCGTTAAGCATTTTCTATTTTTCATATGTGGTTATTCTGCATACTTGGATCAGTGTTTTTGTGATCATTGTTGCATATATATATATATATATATATATATATATATATATATATATATATATATATATATATATATATATATTATATATCTAGATATATGATATATATCTAGACATATTTATTTCTAGATATAGGATATTTATATCCAGACATAAGATATTTATATATTTTATATATATATATATATATATATATATATATATATATATATATATATATATATATATACACTATCATGCCTACATTTGAAACTGTGAATGGAGTCAGCCTCCATCACATCACTTCCTAGTGCATTCCATTCTTTAACTACTCTGACACTGAATTTTTTTTCTAATATCTCTGTGGCTCATTTGGGAAATAAGTTTCCATCGGTGTCCCCTTGTTCGCGTTCCACCAGTGCTGAAAAGTTTCTCTTTGACCACCCAGTCAATTCCCCTGAGAATTTTGTAGGTGGTTATGATGTCTCCCCTTACTCTTCTGTTTTCCAGGGACGTGAGGTACATTTCATTCAGCCTTTCCTCGTAGCTCATACCTCTCAGTTCCGGGGCGAGTCTGGTGGCATACCGCTGAATCTTCTCAAACTTTGTCTTGTGTTTAACTCGGTATGGACTCCAGGCTGGAGCTGCATATTCCAGGATTGGTCTGACATAAGGGCTATACAGGGTCCTGAGCGATTCCTTACACAAGTTTCGAAAGGCAGTTCTTATGTTGGCCAGTCTAGCATATGCCGCTGATGATATCCTTTTGATGTGGGCCTCTGGGGACAGGTTCGGTGTGATATTAACCCCCAGATGTTTCTCTCTAACTCTTGCAGGATTTCATCTCCCAGATGGAACCCTGTGTTCAGCCTTCTGTTCCCTTCGCCTAATTTCATTACCTTACTCTTTTCCTGAGTTGAATTTTAGTAGCCATTTTCTAGACCATTCCTCCAGTTTGTCCAGATCATCCTGTAGTCTCTGTCTATCTTCATCTGTCTTGATTCTTCTCATAATTTTGTCATCATCAGAAAACATTGAAAGGAATGAGTCTATACCTTCTGGAAGATCGTTTTCACATATTAAAAACAGGATGGGTCCAAGTACAGAGCCCTATGAAACTCCGCTGGTGACATCTCGCCACTCTGATGTCTCCCTCCCTCACAGTTACTCGCGGTTTCCTGTTGCTTAGATACTCCCTTATCCACTGGAGCACCTTTCATTTTACTCCTGCCTGTTGCTCCAGCTTTTGTATCAGCGTTTTATGAGGTACTGTGTCAAAGGCTTTCTGACTGCCCATAAAATGCAACCTGCCCACCCTTCTCTTTCTTGCCTAATTTTTGTTGCTTGGTCATAAAATTCTATCCCCCTTCTGAGGCACAATTTACCATCTCTGAACCCATGCTGGTGATGTGTTACGAAAGCTATTTCCTTCCATGTGTGTGTGTGTGTGTGTGTGTGTGTGTGTGTGTGTGTGTGTGTGTGCAATCAATCGAGTACAATCATGAAGGCTTTGTTTTTTGCTACTTTGTTAATTGTTCTAATATTAGTATATTTTGGTATCAGTCTTTCCTGTAGACATATATTATTGAATGTGACCTTTAGGGTGAGACCATTGACTCTAGCGCGAATCTTCTCTATTTTCCTTACATTTTTCTTTACTGGAGAGGAAGTTGAAAAATTGACTCTCTAAGGTAAATTTTACCTTTTTTTGGGCCTGACGTTAAGAGATGAGTTTTGTTAGATGGGCTAAGAGATGACGTAAGAGATGCGTAAGAGATTAAGTATTATAGAATACGAGTGCATAAGACTCTGATAATATTGTTACATATGAATATTATTATACAATTATTTTCTGTATTCCAACTCGCTCTTTTATGTGTAGTTTGAACACAATTATTTCTTCCATTGTCAATATTTGTGTTACTAATTAAACCGGCTTGTTACCGGCACGCCAGAGTGTGTGGAGGGCCGTGGCGTCAGGGCCTGGTATCTAAATCAGTGTTAACAATGACTTTTCTAATTCCGGTTTTGAATCATTGCCATCAAGATTTCTAACCACTTCCTTGTAAGGAAAGCACACACACACACACTCACACTCACACACACATACACACACACACACACACACACACACACACACACACACACACACACACACTGTAAGTTGTATACCCAGTTCATTGTACTGACACTTGAGAGTATACTTAACGGCATGGATTATCAGGAAAAAATATTTATTAGTAGTAGAAGTTTTAAAAGTGGTTTTGCCTCTAAATACAATACTCTCAATCTGCGGCTTTTTGATGGAAGCCTTTTAAGGTTGAAGGTTAGGTAATTATAGCTCGTGGAAGTGATATGAGGACCTGGGATAGGCCGGAGGGAAGGAACGCAGCCTAACCATTTGGACCGTAGGGATAGCTTGATGGTTCAGAGCGCATGATGCTGTACGATGGTCCGAAAGAATTAGTGAACACTTAAGTAGCACCTGCCGGTCACACCTCCCTACGGGGGACTCTTCGGTGTAATTACAATGATTATCATCCTCTTATTTTGTTAATTCTCTCTTCCTTGTGTGTGTGTGTGTGTGTGTGTGTGTGTGTGTGTGTGTGTGTGTGTGTGTGTGTGTGATACACACACCGAGGACGTCACTGTTGACCAAATGTCGAGATACATTTTAACAATTTAAGGGAATTAGTGCATTAGCTTTCCTAAGATTGTTAAAATTAATGCACCCGAGAATACTGCTGCCACTTCCATTCGGTCATTACCTTCATTATCTGTGTTCTTCTTTATTGTAGATTTAAACCTTCGTCTGTTGTATAACCTACTGCTCTCTCTCTCACTCCCTCTGTTTATATTTCTTGCCTTTCTCTCTCTTTGTGTTTGCTTTCTATTTCAATGTTCCATCCCTCTCTGTGCATGCTTGCCTCCCACCCCATCCCTCCCAGCATGCTCCCTCCCCCTCATTATATAAACACCCTCATTCCTGGCCACTCACAGAACATCTGGATCAGGATAGAGATGGTGACCGGGCCGGCTAGGTGGGTGTTGGCGGCCAGGCAGGTCACAGTTTGGTTGTGCCAATCTCGGGTCAGCCGCTCCACTCTCAGGTCATTGGACACCAGGTCAGGTCCCGTCTGGTGCCATGTGGCACTCAACTGCTCGCTGCTCCTCCACCAGGTGACGTTTGGCGACGGGGACCCTGAAGAAGCAGGATACGAAACACTTAGATCTTCATTACGAAACATGAGAAACTTTTAGAATTGTATTGATTTATTTAAATATGCATGGAATAACGAATGTAATTTTTATTTTATTTTTTACATACATTTTATTTTAAAACCTGTATGAACTTGAAGAAATATTTGAGATTAAAATACACAGTTATTTAAAACATCTTGAGAGATGATATTTGGAATAATTTATAATTAACTTGAGTTGATTAAGGATTTAGGAACTTTCGAGATTATTAATTTTGTACACAACTATGTTTATCGTTCAGACGGTCCTTAGGGTGAGGGACAAAGACAAAGAATGAGAAACAAAGACAAAGAATGAGACACACACAGAATGAGAGAGACGAAGAATGAGAGACAGGCACAGACTGTGAGACACAGACAAAGAATGACAAAGAAAGAATGAGGGAGAAATAATGTGAGTAGTATGAACATTAAGTGATGGAAAATGAAGGGAGAACGACCAACAGGAATGAAAGTGAGGATGAAGAGTAGAAAGAATGTTAGATGTTAGGCAAGAGAGCACACAGACAAGAGAGCACACAGACAAGAGAGCACACAGACAAGAGAACTCACAGACAAGAGTACACTTGGAAAGATCTCGGACAAAAGAAATCCCTCACCTGTGAAAGTGAGGGGTCACCTACCTCCCCTAGCCGTGCAGGTGAAGGTGATGGAGACACCTTCTCTGTACGGACCGAGGATCCCGTTGACAGGGTTGTCACCTTCACTGTCCACCACCTCCAGGCTGCTCGCTGGCTCTGTCACACCGAAACTCTTGACATTAATCTATGTTCTCCAGCACCATATTTACCTGTTCTTTATTAATATTTACCTGTCCTTTTATTAATATTTACCTGTCCTTTTATTAATATTTACCTGTCCTTTTATTAATATCTACCTGTCCTTTATTAAAATTTACCTGTCCTTTTATTAATATTTACCTGTCCTTTTATTAATATTTATCTGTCCTTTTATTAATATTTACCTGTCCCTTTATTAATATTTACCTGTCATTTTATTAATATTTATCTGTCCTTTAATTAATATTTACCTGTCCTTTTATTAATATTTACCTGTCCTTTTATTAATATTTACCTGTCCTTTTATTAATATTTACCTGTCCTTTTATTAATATTTATCTGTCCTTTAATTAATATTTACCTGTCCTTTTATTTGTATTTATTTGACTTTTATTAATATTTACCTGTCTTTTTTTAGTGTTTACCTGTCCTATTATTAGTGTTTTCCCGTTCTTTTATTAATATTTACCTGTCCTTTTATTAATATTTATCTGTCCTTTAATTAATATTTACCTGTCCTTTTATTAATATTTACCTGTCCTTTTATTTGTATTTATTTGACTTTTATTAATATTTTCCTGTCTTTTTTTAGTGTTTACCTGTCCTATTATTAGTGTTTTCCCGTTCTTTTTATTAGTATATACCTGTCCTTTTCTTTGACAATATTTATCTATTTTTTAATTGTTGATTTATAGCTCCAGTTCGATTGGTCAGAATTACCTGATATTACCTTGGTCAATATATTTTCTACAGTTTTGTTAGAATTGCCTGAGATTTTATTGGTCAATAATATCTGCAGTTTTATTGGTCAGAATTACATGAGGTTTTATTGATATGTATTACATGTGACCTTTATTGGTCAGAATGTAATGTTTTTCATTGGTCAAAATTATTTATGTCGTGTACCAGTCAGTATTACCCATTGTTTAATTAGTCATTATTTCCTGCTGTCGTATTGACGAATGTCATGTTGAAGCCAATTCGATCAATACGTCCAGCTTCTATTGCATTACGTTATGTTTTATTAGTCAGCCTTTTACCCCCTTTATTAATTGGCTGGTATACGTTGGACTTTATTGGTCAATATATTTCATTTCATTTGCTATTTTGATCTAGGATTGTATTGGTCAGTGTGAGAGAACTGCTTTATACTAGGTGGCTTTTATTGATCTTTATTGTTTGTTTCGTATGTTGTATTATTCTTGTTTATTTCTGGGTACTTCTTGTTTATTTCTGGGTACTTCTTGTTTATTTCTGGGTACTTCTTGTTTATTTCTGGGTACTTCTTGTTTATTTCTGGGTACTTCTTGTTTATTTCTGGGTACTTCTTGCTTATTTCTGGGTACTTCTTGTTTATTTCTGGGTACTTCTTGTTTATTTCTGGGTATTTCTTGTTTATTTCTGGGTACTTCTTGTTTATTTCTGGGTACTTCTTGTTTATTTCTGGGTACTTCTTGCTTATTTCTGGGTACTTCTTGTTTATTTCTGGGTACTTCTTGCTTATTTCTGGGTACTTCTTGTTTATTTCTGGGTATTTCTTGTTTATTTCTGGGTACTTCTTGTTTATTTCTGGGTACTTCTTGTTTATTTCTGGGTACTTCTTGCTTATTTCTGGGTACTTCTTGTTTATTTCTGGGTACTTCTTGCTTATTTCTGGGTACTTCTTGTTTATTTCTGGGTACTTCTTGTTTATTTCTGGGTACTTCTTGTTTATTTCTGGGTATTTCTTGTTTATTTCTGGGTACTTCTTGTTTATTTCTGGGTACTTCTTGTTTATTTCTGGGTATTTCTTGTTTATTTCTGGGTACTTCTTGTTTATTTCTGGGTACTTCTTGTTTATTTCTGGGTACTTCTTGTTTATTTGTGAGTATTTCTTGTTTATTCATGACTTTTATATCTTGTTGTATTATTAGGTATTAATGCTTGTATTTTTGGCTTTTAATCTTGTTCTATTAATGCCTGTTTTACCTTGTATTATTGGATGTTAATACATGTTGTTTACAATGTTGTTTAACTGAGGGAGCAGCTCGTATTTTAAAGCTAAATTTAATATTGAGAGAAAATAGGAAATGCTTTTTCACTCGCGAGGTTATAAACCTGTGAAACTGCCTATTCGCCGAAACTGTAAATGCCATGACATCACTTCAATATCTAGAAGGAAATATGTCTCCAGAACAGTGGTTGGGAGGTGGGGTGGGGGGAGGGATCTCTGACAAGCCGCCGGGTTCCAGTCCCACTCACATAGTGGCCCTCAGGTAAATTAAATAATCATAGTGAAATGGGTGAGGTAAAATATTTCAGTATTCTTTATGTCTCTCGGAACGAACTGCATGCTAACCAGCTCTATACATTCTTCATGTGTAACCCACACACAGGGAACCCAATCTTCTTGGTATCATATTTTTCCACCCACAAGGAACCCAGTCCTCCTTTAGCCATCTTTTTCCATACCAGAAACTCAACCATCTTTCTCCAAACACAAGGAACTCAGTGCTCATTGTACCATCTTTCTCCAAACACAAGGAACTCAGTGCTCATTGTACCATCTTTCTCCAAACACAAGGAACTCAGTGCTCATTGTACCAACTTTCTCCAAACACAAGAAACTCAGTGCTCATTGTACCATCTTTCTCCAAACACAAGGAAC